GGGGGGGGGGCGAATCACAGCGCTTCACAGCGATCCTAGTCGCGTCATTTGATGATTCAGGGATCGCAGCCAATCCGGAGGAGCAGGGCTCCCCCCCCGCGGTGACGTCACGCTGATCAGTCTGATCGGGAGCGGATCGATAGTGCCCCCCCCCCCCCCCCAACACCCCCAAACCCACCTGGTTTGGGGCTTTTTGGAGCCCCAAAAAGCGTGAGAAAAAGTCCTTTGTTTCTGCTCACAAAGCGCGTGTCCGCGTGTACCTGGCGCCTCCAGAGGCCGGAGCCGGGGGCCACGCGCGTGCACGAGCGAGCGAGCGCGAGCTCACGCGCGAGAGGGAAGGGCTGAGTCCGGGAAAAAGACTAAAGCAGCGGGGAGAGAAGCCCAGCGGCCCCCGGAGCTCCAGCAGGAGAAAAGAGGAGACATTCATCCACCACCCCCCCCCACTAACCCTCCTCCTCCGTGCGCGTGACAGCCTGCACGAGCCCGGACACCGGCCCCCTGTCCCGGCTCAGGCCGCCTCTCAGGGCCCGGCAGAAGCCGCTGGATCCGGATACAGATGTTGCTCAGGTGACCAATCAGAGCCGAGCAGCCCGAAAGAGCCCATTATCGGACAAACACTGCCCCCCTGTGCGCGAGGACGGCGCGCGCACCCGCTATTTACATCAGGATTAGATTTATTTTTTCCCCTTTATTTATTTTCCAACATTTTAGAATACATAAAGGCATCAATAAACACTTAGAATGAACATTTTCATAAGAAGGGACGATATGTAATAAACATATATAGTAATATCCGGGATACAATACAATGACAGAAGAAATAAAATAAATAAACAAGAATCATTATGAAAACACGTGATGATTCGTCCTGAGAGAGAGAGAGAGAGAGAGACACGTGTCTATTTAGTATCCAATGAAAGACCTGGAAATGATTTGTAATTAAAGATGGACATTTTCCAAACATTTGTGGACTCACATTAAGATCCAAACTATTTACCCACACAATACTAACACAAGTAATTGGGATTCTAATCACATGTAACTCCTCCTGACACCACCAGAAGTTAACATGCTAATATTTAGATAAGTTAATAAGTCCTAATGAAACTCAGAGAGCTTTTCCTGTCTGTACAGCGCCACCTGGTGGACACAGCCCTCATTTACCTCCCATAAAAACCCAGTTCAGACCTCTCAAACCCAAAAGGTCCCTGAGGGAAACCCTCCTTAGAACAGGACTAACACCACTTCCTTCCCTGCCATTTAACTTTTTTTTTTCACAGTAAATTCAAACAGACACTTTATATTCAAGTTAAATACTTTTTTTTAGCTTTATTTAGGTTTTAACAGAATTAATCCATAGTTAATTTTAAAAGTTGACCAAAGTCAGAGGAAGCCAGTTCTCCCTCTTAGACTCGAGGGGGATTTCTGGGGTACTTGTTCTTAAATTTAAACGTGATAGCAACAAGGCACCAACACGGTGGGGTCACATGGTGGGGTCACATGGTTGGTGGGAATAAACGGTGATGTCACAAACAGATACGTTAGTCTGATAAAGGTAAAAGGGTATTTTACGACCTATTACAACAAAAAGGAACACATAGAAACAAAACAACTAAAAAATAAAAAATAAAAGATTTTCCTATAAATTTGGTGTTTTACTGACAGTTTAAAGCCAGAAAATAGGAATCAAACCCCAGCTTGGCTAAAGAGTCCTTTATTTGGATGCATATTATCTGGAGACTTTTCAGCTTGTTGGTGTTTTCTCAAACGAAGAGAAACCAAACAGGATGAATATTTGAGGGGTGTGTGGGGTCACATGGTCAGGTCACACGGTGATGTCACTGTGATGTCACTGTGATGTCATACGGCGGTGTAATGGCTGCCTCCGGTGCTGATGATGTCGCTGCTGAGCTCCAGGGCCGACAGCACCAGCTCCAGAGCGCCGCGGCTCACGTTCAGACTGAAGCGCTGACGCACCGCCGACAGCACGTGCAAAACGTGCACGCCCCGCCCCGCGTCTGCAGGGGGGGACCCCGAAATATGTTACACTCAGGAACGAGAATCATGCAATCACTCATTTTAATTTTGTAATCTCATTGTCTGAACGTGTGTTTGGACTGATTTTGTATTGTGTGATTTTGTGTTGTTTGGTCTTCCTGCCTCAGGACCACAGATGTAAACTAGCAACTATGCTAGAATCTGGATCATTTACAATCTGTATGAGATTGTTCATTAATGTGCACTGTCCTGATTAAATAACATAACATAATAAAAAAAACACAGGTCCTCTGACTGGAGTATGAGGGCTCAGGTTATGTCATGAACTCTATTCTAGGGATGTCCCCATCCAGGTTTTTTCTGATCTGATCCCGGCCTATTAGAGCCTGTACTAAAGTCTAGGACTAGGACACAGACCCCAAAACCCCAACACACGTTACACACAGGAACGAGACATACAGGTCTACTCTGACTGTGGAATATGAGAACTCAGCTTATGTCACATGAACTGTATTCTAGGGACGTCCCCATCCAGCTTTTTGTTATTCTGATCTGATCCCAGCCTATCAGAGTCTGATAACAACTTAATGGTTAGGACACAGACCTGTGGGTTACAGATGCTAAT